TAGCTGGTAACTAGCTGTCTGGTCTGGGTCAACTTATCGCAAAGTGGAGAGATGGAGAGAGGCATCGGAGGGTTGCACCAGCAGAACTTTATTCCTGGATGCGCTAAACACAGTTTGCAGATGAATGCTAACATTTCGCTCACAACTGGGCCGGTTAGACTCTTTTGGCTGCAGTAGCCCCAACTATAAACATACTTTTCTCACTCTTTAAACTTTGTGCTGCATATGTAACTCGCACTCACTTGTACACAGAGAGGCGGTCTCTGTTTTCCCCACAACATTCAACCTGTGGCACAGAATACATTACCATCAGGCTGCCGTCTTAAAGCAGGCTATCCCTGTAACATGCAAATTTTTCTTACTTTTATTTTGTCCGCCCAAAACTTGAGGGAGCCACAGCTGAGGACGAAAGAGCCACATGTGGCTGCTGACCTCCATCCTAAATCAAATTACTGGTTTTCACAGAAACACAAACAGATGTCAATGGCCCAGAATTCAAGGCAGAACTGATACACCCACAGCAAGCATTGCGTATTCAAAGTCAGTTTTTTGAGGCTATAAAAGAGAAGTCAGACAGATCAGTGGCCATTACCACCAAAAGTGCAGTCATGGATAATCCACAGAGGCCAAACGAGAACAATGACGCACCGTCCAATGATATATTTAGGCAAGGTACGATTTTCTTCCGCAGTGACTCGTTTAGCCATCACTTTTTCTCCTCTTTTCTTTCTATTTCATCTTTTTTTTTCCAGGTAGTTTCCTGAAGTCAGTGTTGCCTATTTTAGTGGAAAAACATAAGTTGAAATCATTCTTAAATATTCGCTAAACCTGTGTGTTTTTGTAGGATGCTTGCATATGAAGTTGTATTTGTATGACGTCAGATAAACCTAAATATAGCTACAGCAAATAAGATGTGTTTCCTAATGTAGCTGGTTTGTGCCTTGACCGCAAACTCATTGCAGCTGTGAGGATATACAGTTCACTTGTTCAAGCATGCCTACAAAGCAGAAGAAGCTAAAAAGGAAAATGTAAGTCAATTGTGTTTTCTGCCAAATGTTGAAACATTACAATATTTTTATGTTTATTTACTAAAGGTGGATCAACAAAGTACCCACCAATTATACCGTTCCTTGGATTGCTGAACGCTGTGCTGTTGATAACGGCTGTTGTTATTGGAGTTAACTGTGAGTGTGAAAATTCCCATGAAGTTTCGTTTCCCACTTTTTTTAATGTGGAAACTTACTGATAAACTGCTGATAACACACTTTCACTATAAGATTTCAGAGCAATCATGTTAACACAAGCAGTAATACATCTTTTAAATTGAAAATGTTCTAGTTTGTTGATTAAAAAACTATTTTAGTTCCTTCTAAACAAAACTGTGTCAAGATTATCTTCCAGTATTTTGAAATGTGACTCAACTATTGATATTTTGACACAAACATTTTCAGGTGCCAAAGTCAAAGAGGACTCCTTGCACATTTCCAACCCAGCTGTAACACAGCTCTTCAGTGAGCTCGACTATCTCCGAAGCAACCACAGCGATGTGATTGAAGCTGAAGAGGAGGCCAAGAAGGCGTTAGAGAGCGCGATCAACAACCACAAAGAAGTAAAGGTGAAAATTGAGCAGCTGAAGACCGTCAATGATGGTTATCAGAAACAGATGCAAGCACTGCAAGTGGAGAAGGAAAACCTGAAGTCCAACATATCAGCTTTAGGTGAGAAACTTTTATCCTTATTTATGTTTTCCTGAAATGTGTTAACTGGAAAAGACGATAACTCTTTGTTTCTCTCAGAGGGATCTTGTGGTGGATGCCTCCCTGGTTGGGCTCTTTTCAACTCGTCCTGCTATTTCTTCTCCTACACCGAGTCCTCTACTGTCAAAAAGAACTGGCATGAGAGCAGAGAGGACTGTGTTAGTCGTGGATCTGACCTGGTTGTGATCGATAGCCAGGAAGAGCAGGTGGGTTTAAAACAAACAAGGATGACTGTAAAAAAAAATAAGTCAGATAGACAGAAAGTCTACATGCCTAAGAGACCACAGAGAGTGATTAACACATTTAAATTCTGCTAATCATAGAGCTGATTATAAACTTCAATCTTTCATATCGAGCATGTTTATCTTCATTTAGATGTTATTACCCAAGAACCAGCTGTTCTTTCTGGGTCACCTTTTAACAGAATAGACATCCAAAACTCAAACTACATGCAGTCAACAAATAAATTTAAAGAGAAATATATGTTATTAAAAAATCAAGTAAACAATTAGCAAAAAACAGCAAACAGTCATGTCAACATTCTATAATCTGCTTACTGTTAATAAACATTAGGTACAGGTGATGGAAAAATTAAAAAATGCTATGTAGTTTAGTTTATTTATTTATATAGCACATTTAATTACAACAGTGGTGTTGACCAAAGTGCTGTACAAACATACACATTACACAATAAAATAACAAAAATATCAATTAACATCAATGCCAAATAAAAAAAATAGTAAATAACAAATAACAAATAAATAAGTAAATAACTCTCATGCAGTATTAAAAGCCAATGAGTAGAGACGTGTTTTAAGATAGCATTTAAAAAGATTGAGGGTAGGAGCCTGTCTGATGTGGAGAGGCAAATCATTCCACAATTTAGGCGCTGAAACCTCTCGAGAACATTGTGACTGTATAGAAAAGATTGCAGCTGAACAAATACATTCTTTTCTAAAATTATTGACAGAAAGGGAAGCTTTGAAAGAGGCCTGAAGTTTGCAAGAACAGAGGAATCGAGATTAGTTTTTTAAGCACAGGCTGCACAACAGCATGTTTAAAGCAGGCTGGCACAACACCTGAGTTAAGAATGCTATTAAAAATCGCTAAAATGTCAGAACTGACCACCTTGAGAATTTTTTTTAAGAAATGTGTTGGAACAACATCATTTGGACAAGATGATGTCTTTATGTCATTACAAAGTTCTTCCACCTGATCAAAACACACAGGCTCAAACTGCTCAAAAACAGTAGAGCAGGTGAATGTAATGTAGCCACAAACTGGCACTGTACAAGTCAAGGTCGTGCCCTGAAAATGAGTTAATTTCTATAATGGTTGTTATAATTAGGTCATTTGAAAACTTTATTCTAGGTGTTAACTGATTCTTTTTTTCCTTTTTTTTTCTTCAGAAATATGTGAGTAACACAATCCAAAATATGAAAACCAGTAATAGTAAGTGGGAGAATGGATTTTGGATTGGACTCACTGACATGGAGAACGAGGGGAACTGGACATGGATTAATAGTGTCACAGAAGTGCAACAAAGGTGAGAACAGCACCAATCATTTCTTCGTACTTTTACGTTAAATAAATTAATTTTATTATATATATTATCAATCAAAAGTTTTAGACCATGTCATGGTGCTGGGTCGGTGACCCAGCGTTTTGTGTTTGTTATTCTTCATATTATGGTTATTATCTGATGATTTGATGTTTGATTATGTATTCTAGTTGAGAGGTTTTCTTCCTGTGCCTCCTTTGCTGTGTGCCTAGTTATCTGTCAGTGTGCTCCATCTGTGCTCTGTTTCATTTCCCTGAGTCTGTGTCATGTCCCTATGTCTGTGTCGGTAGTTCAGTCTGTGGGTTCCGGGTTTTACTTTTAGGGTCTGGTTCTCTTGTCTCGTCATGTTAATTAGGATCAGCTGTGCCTCTCTCCTGTTTGCCATTCCTTGTTGTTCCTCTGTGTGTGTACTTATAGTGTGAGGTTGCCTTTGCTCGTTGTCGGTCCGTCTGCGTTAGTTGCTGTTTCTCAGCATCTCTCTGCTCAACATTCTCCATGTCATCCCTGCCTGTCTCGCCCCATGTTCCCGTGTCTTTTGTCTCCTCATGCTTCCAGGTATTCCAGTGTTTAACGTTTTGTGTTTCAGTTTGGGTTTGTATGAGGTTAGTTTTCCCAGTTTAGGTTTTGGAGCCCCCCGTTCCTTTTTTCCTGTTTTTGTCACTTTGCCATCACTGTAAATAAACGCTCACTCGCTTCACAGCCTTTGCCTGCATTTTGGGTCCTTCCTTCACAAACACCACATGACTGCCGTAGCAGCCATGACAGTCCACCCCAATTTTTCCTTTTTTTTATTGAAAATTATACAGTTTCATGTGTCATTGCACTCTGAAATGAAAGCATAGTATAAATAAGCAATTGGACTTCAAAATCATAGAATCAAGTTATAGACGAAAATTGATTTTTTACTTTTCTTTGGTGGATATAACAGCTGAACACACCTGTGGCATTCTTTCTACAATAGAACTCAAAATTCTTCAGAAAGTTCTTCCCATGTCTCTTACAGTTTCCATGAATGTGTGGCACTTGTAGATTTCTTTGCTTTCACTCTTCTGTTCAGTTCATCCCAAACTACCTCCATGGGGTTTAAGTGTAGAGGCTGTGCTGGCCACTCCGTGTTTTCAAGCTTACCATCTTGTTCTTTTTTCGCCTCTGTCAGTGCGCCCCAGGGTGGCTGTGGCTACAATGTAGCTTGCCATCACCAGTGTGTGAATGTGTGTGTGAATGGGTGGGTGACTGGATGTGTAAAGCGCTTTGGGGTCCTTAGGGACTAGTAAAGCGCTATAAAAATACAGGCCATTTTTTCCTCAGGTAATTCTGGCATAGCTTGGAATTATGTATTGGTCATTATCTTGCTGTAGGATGAACCCCTGACCAACTAGGAGTATACCAGAGGGTATGGCATGGCGCTGCAGAATGCTGTGGTAGCCATTTTGGTTCAGGGTGCCACTCAATCTGTACAATTCATCGACCCTAGATCCAGCAAAACAGCCCCGGACCATCACACTTCCTCCTCCATGTTTGACAGTTGATTCCACACACTGGAACCATCCTTTCACCTACTCCACGCCATTCAAAGATCCTTTATGATGAACTAAAGATTTATACCAGACTTCAGTAGTCCAACGGCGGTGTTTCATGGCCCAGGAAAATCTCTTTGTCTTATTCTGATGTCTAAGCAATGGCTTTCTTGCAGCAACTCATCCTGTCAAACCTGCAGCTCGAAGTCTTCTCTTCACAGCTGAAACTGAGACTTGCTTACTACGACCACTATTAAGATGTGCTAGAAGCTGATGTCCTGTGAGCTGCCTATCACACAAGCTGTTAACTCTGAGAAACATGTCCTCTGATTCAGTTGTGGCTTTGAGTCTGCCAGACCTCTTCCTGTCAGAGTTTGCTCCAGTTTCTTGCCTTTTGATGGTGAAGCAAACTGTACTCACTGACACCTTGACTTTCTTTGCAGTTTCTCTTTGGGAAAGACCTACATTTTTAAATGTTATGATGATCTGTCTCTCTTCCATTGTTAATTGCCTTTTTCTTGCCATTTTTGTAGCAACGCACTACTTTCACCAGTACAGTAATGTTCAACTGATGCTCACAAGGTAATGATACCACAGTGTGATCCAGAGGTGGTTGTAAGTAATCCAAAAAAGTTGGAACACCTGTAGGAATTAGTAGCACCAGCTTTCAAGGCTTCATCAACCTCTGTTTTGGGTTCCCTGATAAAGGCCTTTCTGTATAATTCTAAAATGTACATTGGGTAACCTTACCTTTTTTTTTTCTTTTTTCTTTTTACCTCTGGCAGTTCACCTGATGTGAACCTTTGTACCAATCCAAGCTATTCATTGGACTTGAATGACTTGAATTGCAATAAATAACTGAAAATATTGGGTGTTTTAAAACTTTTGACTGGTAGTGTGTGGTTTGAAGTTAACGATACATGATGCAATTTTCTTAGGTACTGGATGGATGGAGAACCAAACAACGGCGGAGATTTTGGAGAACATTGTGGGGCTGCAGTTCACTCCGCCTTTAATCCCTGGAAGACCCGCTATGATGGAAATTGGCAAGTTGCTCTGAAGTCATGGCAAAGGCAAAAAAGAGAGACTATTATTAAATGAATTTGATACAATCAATGTACACCCTTCACAAGTTTCCAGTCCATAACTGACATAAAGAGAGAAACAACCCTTCACACTCTGCAGATCTAAACCAGGGTACCTGCAGAACAGGGACCGCTGCACTGTGCTGTACCCAAAGTGGACTATGTATGATCATTGTATTTTATTATAATTATACAGCACAGAAGAAGGATCCTTGCACCGTAAAAATGGCCTAGGCTGTGCTTTCTTGATTTTGTCAAAACTAGGCCACACAGCCATGACAGCAAGACAGGTGCAGATAGAAATGCTAATTAAGAAAAGGTTTATTAAAGAAACATGAAGAAACTCAAACTCACAATGTAACTGTCAGTGGTGTATGAAGAGTTAGTGGATGCAGTGTTAGGAGCACAAGAGCAAACCAAACAGCAGCCAAACTCCAGATGTTGCTCAGGGAGGAGAGGAAACTTGGCGCACGTTTGAATTCATGGCACATGCCAACAATTCATTTTTACATGAACATAATGTACTAACCAGCGCTGAACGTGGGCTTCATTTCTTTTGGAAAAGTGAGGATATTTACTACATCTTATCTGTAGAAAGTAGATTGCGTTTATGCAAAGATATTTTGACTTTTTCCTTTAAAAAATTAAAATTTAACTAAAAGGAATTTATCACTCAGCTCAGCAGTAGTGCCTTATTGTAACTCAGGGAACTTTGTCAAGGTCACTAGAACTCTTGCACTATGTCACCATAAACTTCCTGTTTCCATGAAGATTCATCCCATTTTCTGTATGTCACACTTAAAATCTTTCAAGTGCAGCTGACTGTTAAATCTTAAAAAGAGCAAAGCACAAAGAAGTTTCAAGGCACACAAATAGCCTTTAAATCTAATCATGTATGATAATTATTTTAAATGACTGATCATTGATTATGCAGCACTATAGAACTGACTAGACTTGGGCACATTCCTTGATTTCTTATAGAAAGTCAGCATATTACAATCTTGTGTATCATCAAATTAAAGGTTACACCAGAGATTACTTTACTTTTATTTTCGATTCACTTTTGTCACTGATAAAAGTTTGAACTGGAATTCAGTGATTAAGAATTAATCAGCAGTGAGTTGTGTCGACACAGCAAAGTGTCTTGCCAGATATGCATGTGACTGATATCAACTACTGGTTGTAATTTTAATGGTGGATTTGATTCACTCTTTTATCAAGAAGATGTGTGTGCCATCCTCTTTAACTCTTTTTAAAGCCATTGTTGAAAATTTATGGCAGTTACATAAGAACACAATTAAAATCCATCTAATAACATTCATATATTTGATGGTCTGAGGTGTAACCCGGAGTGGTCCTCAGCAGGAAAAGGGTGGAATGCCCACTCCTGGTCAGGAACAAGTCGAAGATTAATGTAGAAAAACATTAAAGTTTAATGTATTTCTACATTAATCTACAGAAACATTTATCAGTGCAAAGCTGTTTAGAAGATACTTACAATAAGCTGTCTGTTCCAAAGAGCTTGGAAAGAAAGTGCGTGGACTTTTTTCATGAAGACATTTGAAGGCAGTAAAGACTCATCTGAATCCACCAAACCCGAATCCTCTGTTAGTGTCAGTAAACCCATCTCCTTTTCTGGTGAGAAAACTTATCCAAGCAAATCTCCAGACAAATCGGCGCATTCTTCGTCCTCGGGTTATAGGACCCGTTCATCAAAGATGGCATCAACCGCTGCTGCAGAGCTAACAGAGGAAAGTGCAGCAACAAAGTCTGACCTCAAAGTGTCAGCAAAGGAAATACTGATACTAGAGACAGATTAAAATCCAGCTAATCAGGGGCACTATAGAGCAAGACATGGTGTAACACACAACTTAGTAGAGCTGCAGAATTCTGAAAAATTCTCTTAAAAAGGCTGCAAAGTTTCTCTTCACGTGAACTTTGGTTCTTGAACCTTGTGTCTTATAGAAAGCCCAATCTCAAGGTTCTACGTTCTCCACGATCATGTTGACCAGTTTGCCAGAAGGAAACTACAGACAGGAGGATGTCGCTAAGCTGGTGTGGCATTACTTCCCTGATCAGACTGTTCAGACTCTGTACTACAACATAATCGTTTTATCACTGCAGAGGAGGGTGAGGAGTAGACCCAGCAGGCTGATACAGAGAAATTTACAATTGCAAATTTAATTCAATTTAATGATTAATACTGAATGTTTCCTCTGCATTATCCCCCCCCCAACAGACCTTTGTGTTTTTTAACAGTTGGGATGCGTGCTGCAATTTCGCCAGAGATTACCTCAAAAATCCAGTTGCTGTTGGAGATTGGAGACTCAGAATCCACATTGTTTTAAAAGACATGCGTCCTGGTTCAAGCTTCAATCAGGATGCATGTCTTGTTTAATTTGTGCAAAGACTACTCCTTAGTTGTCTCCTCCCTCCCTGGTCCTCCATTTTTACCTCCCCTTCCACTCCAGCGATGAGTTAAACAGCTTGACAGCATGTGGGACAAGGGAGTTTTTAAGTCAGTTGGTCCTAGACTTGGGGAGAAGCAACCTGTCACTAGACTCCCCTGGTTATTTATGAACATATACAGAGGATGCCCAACATTGTCCATAATGTCAGCAGATTTTTAGTGTCCTCTTCTCTGCACTGTCACCAGAGTGTGCTTCATGCCGACCACAGAGTCAGCCTTCCTGATTAGTTTTTCATGGTGGGAAGGAACAATTTGTCATTGAAAGGTAAAGGTATTTTACATGTGTGAAACAGTCTGTTGTATTTGTTAGAAAAGGTCATTTATTAACTAACGTTCTCCTCCGGAATAAACAATGTAAATTATAACAAAAGGAGAATAATGTGCACGGTGGCACGGTGGTTAGCACTGTTGCCGCACAGCAAGAAGGTCCTGAGTTCAATTACACCATCAGGCCGGGGTCTTTCTGTGTGGAGTTTGCATGTTCTCCCCG